GACAAATGTGAGGATAAACGTCCCTGCAAACATTTTACGGGAAGACAGGGATTTTCTTTAATACCCCATGGGCTTCAGCTCCTGCCAAAACTTTTTCCTCCACCCCTGAACAGAGGCACCTTCAAACCCCTTTTACTAGTCTGAGTGTCCAATGGCCACTTCACACCTATGTCCAGAGGAGGAAATTGTATATTAAACAATATTTTCCAGGGATTTCACAAGTGGAGTCATTGCCATAGCACAGCAGGGCTCATATAAACACACCCTGCTAAAAAAATTATCACGTGCATGAACCTGTGATTGCTTCCAGCCCAAGGTACCTGAAAATCTTTCCAGTGTTCAAAATTAAGTTGCCCACAGATGGAGGAGAGAGGCTGGGGACACCCATACACACGTGCACATGGATGCCCTAACCTCTAACCCAGGGCAGGACCACTCATCTCCACACCACTAGCCCACTGCTCCCTCTTAGTTGCTGTGCAGTGCATGATACAGTCCTTGGGAAGGGGCTGTATCCCATTTAAAGCCCCCCTCCCCAGCCAGACTCCTCCATCCAAGCTGGACACTGTGCCCTATGGCCACCCTGCGCTTGCTGCTGACTGATGGTTAGAGGAGCATGGCAGAGGTCTTCCTCCATAAAATAAACATAAATGACTTAGCAGCACACACACAGGCTGGACACACAAGGCAGAGTATAAATAACCTGCTTACCCTTAAAACCTTTTTCCAACTCACCTATGCCAAGTGTTTCTGCAGAATCCCTGTCTTAATTTAGAAACCAAATGTATTTTGACGAGGAGCTGGCACTGAGCACCCTCTGCCTCCGGGCAAGCAAGTGTGCCACGCCAGTGCCACTGACAAGCAAGGAGCCGGCTCCTTCCACCTCATGGTTCCACCTTCCCAACAGGAAGATATTGCAGGAGAACGGTAAGGGATAAAATCAGAGAGGAATGCAGAGTCTGTTCCACAGACATACCCTCTCCTTCTTTTTAAACAGGATCTGAGAGCAGCCTGGAAAGGCAAAGCCCAGCCTGGGGTGCTGGGATCTGCTGAAGTGGCAATGCCAACCCCCCAGGAGCACTCAGGTGAGCTGGCCGAAATGGATTTGAGGCTTTGCCCCAAAGCTAGCCATGTGCGTGCCAACTGCCTCTCAAGTCCATTGCGAGTTCGGATGTAACCAAGGCTCTTAAGGACAGGAGTTCAGCTAATCTGAGCTCATCTCACCCAGCGCCACCCTACCGAACTCCAGGTGCTGACTCGGCAGCACCACAGCGCAAGCCCCACGTTCACCCCTTAGCAGCTGCATTTTACTTCTTAATTGGTCCCTTTCTTCCATTTGAAGCTTAAAGAAGCAGCAGCCTCTGGCCAGAAAACCTTTGTTACAGCAAAAACAGTTCCTGGAGCGCAGCTGGAGTCCTGTGGCACCCACATACACCTTCTCCTCGTGCAGCTGTTTGCCTGTGAAATGTGGTTCCTGCTCAACCGAGTCAGAGACAGCTCACCCATGAGCTGGCACTGGGCTCAACCACTGCTCTTGGCAAAGCCAGCCCAGCTCAGCCGCTTCTTGCACCATCCTGGGGTGATGGGGACGACAAGCAAGGCAGAGCTGACGGAAGGCCAGGTCATCACGGCACATCTGAATTTTCACCTCTGGTAGCAATAGGTAGAAGGCCAAAACTCAGTTTATACAAGCTGAAGTTCTGTTTACTTATGCAATAGGAGATGGAGGGGGCAAGATTATTGCAAGATAATTGCTCCCTTGATTAATTACAAAGCAAAGCCAGCTGCTTCCAATTCCTGCACGATACAGGCTGCTTCCCAAGGAACCAGCCGACACAGGGAAGTTTCAATTGCTTTCCTCCTCAACTGTTTAATTCTAATCTTAAGAAAATAATCACACTACAAACAGTCCCACATCCATCCCCCAAAAGTGCTCACTGCTTAAACTGAATGGATCGCTGCTTAAACAGGAAAAAAAAAAGTCACACGAAAACCATTCATTCAAGATTCATCTGCGCTCAATTAAAGAACACAGGAGCAGCTGATGAAAAACATTTACAAGATATTATTAAATCTTATAAGGTGGGGAAGCCAAGAGGAATCCAGATATTCAAATTTTTCCCAGGATTGATTTTTATTCCACATGCCCCAAAAAAAAAAAAAAAAGGCAGTTACAGAAGGTTGTTTTGCCTCAACAGAATTGGTAAGTGCAGCTATCAATAACCATTGCAATAAATAAAACATTTGCAGGAAAGAAAATACCTGCATAATCATAAACTCAATGAAAGTCATCTTTCCTGGTGCGGGGTGTGATGAGCACTAGTTACATGGCCTGGCACAAATTATTCAAATAACAAAGTATTCTGGGACTCATAGTCCAGAGGGTCAAATGGAAACTACAATTGTAAGAGCAACGAAAACAGGGACAACTCAGATGAGTCCAGCATCGTCCTCATGTCCTGCAATAGGGGCACAGGTGGAGAAACCACCGAACCTGCTGCGTTTCTTCCCAGCAAGAGAGAGTTGGCAAGTCCCCAGAAGTGATCCTAGAAGGAGAAAATCCCCATTTGCCTCATTCCCCAGTACAACTCCCGGGCACTGGCCATGATGTTGATGGGCAGCATGTCCCCGGAGCAGCCCAGGGGCTGACCGCGTGGCCCGCATCTCCTTGGGGTCCTGCTGTGCACCACTGCTGCCCCTCGAGCCTCGGGGAGGAAATGTTCCTGGAGGGGACAACTTAAGCAGATTTTTGTGACCATGAATCTACCCAGGAGGCTAAATGACACTTGTATGAAAGGGAATGTGCGCCATGGAGCTGCTGCAGCAGGGATCAGGTGAGAGCCATGCAAGTATCCCCGCTCGTGTTTCCCTAGCAACTCCAGTCAGTTCCTGCTTCCCCTTACACATTCCCTTTCTCTCGCTTCAAAGTAGGCCAACTGCTCCATCGCTCAGCCACACAAACCAGGTATTAGGGGAGTTCAGTGAGCCTTATTTCTATTTAATAACAATTTTGATGGAGGATGCTTTCGCATTAAATCCTGCCTCTGCACATGCACTGAAGCTCCCCTGCAAATACAGGAGCGACCCATTTGGAGAAGGGGTGTCTCACCATCCCACTCAAAGCCTCTCAAGCACTCGGTAAAAAAACAAGGACAAAGATGGAAGACCAAACTCCAACACTGACTTGCAAACTTGGAGGTGCCTGGGCAGGTACCACCTAAACCCAACAATCATGCAAGGGGTCTGACACCTTTCGAAAAACCAGCTCTACGGCTCAGACCAAGATATTGAGGTGCTTAAGTATTGTTTTTTTATGGCTGATATCTACAACATCTTTCCCATCCTGGAGAACAAAGCGTAGCCAAGGTACGCACCCTGGACTCCTACCCACCATGCCCTTCACTCCCACGCAACACCAACACTTCGCCAGTTAAACCAGCTCCTGCCACTGCTTTTTTGCCTCCCCCTATCATAAAAATGACACTTGAGAGTTCAGGCATGAATGCCCAAACTCAATGGCAGGCATTAATCAGCCTCCATCCATTCAAACCTATTCCACGACAGAGGAATTAGCTCAAAAAGCAGCTATTTAATCATCCAACACAGCGCTTCCCCCAGCATCGTGACCCCATCCCTGGCTGATGTAGCTACGGCAATGAAAGCTCGAGTTTAGGCACAGCGATATTAGTGGAAAAAATACCAGTGGGTTGGATGGTCTCATTCAAAATACCTCTGTCTGCATAACAAGGATTATTTTGTAGTTATGGAATATATTTGGTCTTTTAGGAAAACACGGAGCTGTTTATTTACTCATGTCACGGGCGTAGCTGAAAAAAGCTGGAGGTTTGTGTTAATTTTTTAGACAGATTCTCAGGGAAAGTGGCAGTTCAGGACTTAAATCCTCCCCTATCGAAGGCAGCACTTAACCATGTGTTTAAACTGAGACTAACAAAGATGCTTGAGCTGCTGGGCTTTGTGGAAGGTGCACACTCAAAAAAAAAAAAAAAAAAAAGACAAGAAACAGAGCAAGAAATGCCTCGGGGGAAAGGAGGCAGCCAGCTTTCTCATTAGGAGAAGACATGCCAGATTGCAGCTAAATCTAAATCCACACCACAGGAACACATCTTCATGCCCTCTGAAGCCAAGACCAATTTTCGGTCCCATGGACTAAAAGAAAAAAAAAAAATCCCCCAAAAAGCCCATCTCCCAAACAAATTATTTGATCACTGGTTATTTCTCCTGGTTTTGCACCAATGCAGAAAGAAGGGATCTAGCTAAATTGTTTTGATGCAGCTGGAATTAAAAGAAAACCCGTTGTAATGCTGGGCAATTCGGTGCTGCATGCATATGCACTTTGCTGACTGAAAAGCCTTGCGACGTGCTCGACAATACGCACTCGAAACTTGGCCACTACGGCTAGAAACCACACATGGCCAGAAAGAAAAAGCACTCATGCAGCAGAGGAGAGGCTGTCAATGAGGTACCTTTGAGTGGAGCTTCTCAGTTTATCTCCTCGACTGCACAAAATCCATTACAGCCAGAGATGAAGTC